AAGAGGCCAATGGCCCAGTGGATGCAGAGTGGGAGTCTCAGTAATATGTTAACTCTGTTTTCTATGTTGTGTAGAGGAATCTGGTGTAGCTTGGGTTAGGAGATTACTTTCATGACCCCCAGGAAGTCACGTATACAGAGACACACACAGTGCTTTAACTATTACGACACACCCACACATACATGCACACTCACTCACATGCACTCACATAGTGTAAATGACCCAGATTATTTATCTTATTGATATTTTTCAAACCGTTAAATCCCTGAACGAATTATACCTTATAATATAGATTAGACCCTTATTTTGAAATTCAGAACGGGCAACTTCCAGGGAGGAAGATCGTACTGCTACTGCTTGCCGCAGAAAAGGTTAATGAGAAGGTTATCGTTTTCCATCCATCTTTAAATTAGCATCTAGCCAGAACGCGAACAGGTATGTTTGTGTGTTGTACTTGTTGTTTACATTTCGGACAATTTGTAAATGTATTACTTGATTGTTAACAAGTTTATGAGCGATCTAGCAGGCTGATGGTAAAGTAAACTTCTTATGCTAAACACAAATCAATACCCCATTAAGACTGTACAGTTACAAATTAAACTAAATGCCCACTCTTTCATCCACTTTTTGGGTCAGTAGAAAGAATGATAAATAAACAGTAGTGGCGGTAAATACCAATAAACAAAATTACTTCACTTGTTATTACTTCATGTCCGTTGTGTCTTAATACAGCAGATGTCCAGAGTAGTTGATGACCTTCTCTCTCCCTATAACCACCACTGATGAGAATGAATGTCCTTTCCTTGTCAATTAGAATGAAATGTTCCATGTTCCATTTCTCATCAAACTCACATCAAACCATTAAGCCAGCTGCATGATGATTATAAAGTCTCTGTCTAGAAGACCCATAAAATGGCGCTGAGTTGCTCCGTGAAATGTCTTGTCAATCCCAGACGAATAGCAACACAGCCCTGTGACTCGTCCTCGTGGTTCCGTGGTGCAGGATGGCAGCAGGATGATGCGGGGGATCAGCTCTTACTGTAGCATTCCAGCCGGACTTTATTCAGACGATGCACTCAATGATCATTACGGACGGACCATGGTGGGGTATTCCAACCCATTTATTCACAAGTTACCATAAATACATCGTAAGAGCTGTAATCATAACATAAAACAAAATAAACATTCACTTGATATAACCACGTTTCCGTTATGCTAATTAATTCACAGAAAAGGCACAAGAACATCAGTTTGCAACAGCTAGCAGGTTGCATTCATTATTTTATATGTTTCTTCTCAATGTTGTGTTGGTTATCTGCCTCTTTTTCAACTTGGTTTAAATTGCAAAGGTTTTCCTCCCTTCTGACAATGCAGCCTGTAAGTTATACACTCAACAAAAATATAAACGCAACACCTTTGTTACTGCTCCCATTCCCCATGGGATGG